TTAGAATTAGAGGGAAAATGGGGAAATGATTGTATGAAAATTACGAAGGGATCGTTAGTTGTGTTTAAAGCTGTAAAACGGAATAATTTGTACGTTACTTGCGTTGAACCAATTAATATGCCTGTAAACACAATAAATTCTGTTAAAGAGAATAGTGATTTGTGGCATAAGATATTAGGACACTTAAGTAATAAGGGATTAGAAATTTTACATAAAAATGGATCCTTAGGTAATATAAAATTTAATCCTGTGTCCTTTTGTGATAATTGTGTATATGGTAAACACTATAGGGTTCAATTTCCCCATCCCCTAGTGAAACACGTGATTTATCTAAATCTGTATTGGATTATTTGCATGCTGATGTGTGGGGCCCAGCTAGTGAGCCCACACATGGTGAGTCTAGATATTTTTTATCCATTATTGATGATTTTTCAAGAAAAACCTGGGTATTTCTTATAAAAAATAAATTTGATGTGTTTGATGTTTTCAAAAACTGGAAAATTAAAATTGAAAATCAAACATCAAAGAAAATTAAATGTCTTAGAACTGATAATGGTTTAGAATTTTGTAACTCCTGGTTTGATGTTTTTTGTCAAGAAAATGGTATAAATAGACATAGGACTGTCCCCTATACACCCCAGCAGAATGGGGTGGCTGAAAGGATAAACTGGACTTTTTGGAGAGAGTTCGAAGCCTTTTGGCTTCATCTGGTTTATCTAAAAAATTTTGGGGGGAAGCTGTTATGACAGCAGCTTATATAGTCAATAGATTGTGGTTAAGGTCTAGACCTGGTTTTAAAGTTGTTATTAGTAGAGATGTTGTTTTTAATGAAAATGAGATGCCTTGTTTAAATGTTGAAAAATCTGTTTTGGATAAATTTGAAATTGATACTGAAAATATAGACTATAATAATACTCCAAATGAGGTGGAGTACAATACTGCTAATATAGGTGAGGTAGAAAATACAGAAAATAGTGATGAAATTCGTGTAGGATCAGCTGTGACAGAGGAAAATATTTCTGGAAATGATATTAGCATATCTGAAAATCAAAATGAATCTGATTTTGAGAATAATAATCAAAACGAGTCTATTTTTGAAAATTTAAGTAATAATGAATCTGATTTTGATAGTGGTAATCAAAATGAATTAGAAAATTACCAATTAACTAGAGATAGGGGTAGAAGAATCCCTAGGTTACCTACTAGGCTTGGTGATTTTGATTTGTCTTCTTTGGCTTTTAGTGTATTTGAGAATTTAGATGGTAATGAACCTAAGACTTTTAGGGAGGCCATAAATTCTGAAAATAAAAATCAGTGGGTAAAAGCAATGAAATAAGAAATTGATTCATTATATGATAATAAGACTTGGTGTTTGGTTCCTAAACCTCCTAATTGTTCTCTTGTTGATTGTAAATGGATTTATAAAGTTAAACAAGAAGATAGTAGAATTAGGTTTAAAGCTAGATTAGTAGCTAAGGGTTTTACCTAAAAAGAAGGAATAGATTATAATGAAATTTTTTCACCTGTTGTCAAATTTACCACTGTTACAGTCATGTTAGCTCTAGTTGCATTTTATGATTGGGAGCTAAAACAATTAGATGTTAAAATAGCTTTTTTACATGGTGAATTAAATGAGAAGATTTATATGAAACAATCTGAAGGTTTTATTGATAAAAATAAAATGGGTCATGTTTGTTTGTTAAATAAATCTTTATATGGTTTAAAACAGTCACCTAGACAATGGAATATCAAATTTGATAATTGTATGAAAAATCTTGATTTTATTAAAAGCAAATTTGATTATTGTTTGTATTATAAGACTGTTAAAAACCAACCTATTTTTCTTCTCATTTATGTTGATGATATGTTGATTATTAGTCCATGTTTAAAGCTTATTGATAATGTGACTAAGTGTTTGTGTGATAATTTTGACATGAAATTGTTGGGTGATGCCAAAGTGATTTTAGGCATGTGTATCACTAGGGATAGAAAAAATTCAAGACTGTTTTTAAACCGGTCTACTTATATTTCAAAAATTCTTAAGAAATTTTCTATGAGTGATGCTAAATCTGTTTCTGTTCCTATGGCTTCTAATTTTGTGCTAAGTAGGGATCAATGTCCCAAATCAGAGTCTGATTTTGAATATATGAAACGTGTGCCATATTCTAATGCTATAGGTTCCATAATGTACTTAATGGTTAGCACTATGCCAGATTTAGCTTATGCTATTAGTTGTTTAAGTAGGTATATGTCGAACCCGGGTTTAGAACAATCGCATGCATTAAAATGGGTATTTAGATACTTAGTTGGTACAATTAATGTTGGTCTTGTGTTTGGAAAACATACTGAAAATATTAAATTAGAGGGTTTTGTGGATTCAAATTATGCAAATGATAGGGATAGTAGAAAAAGTACTACTTCTTATGTTTTTACTTTGTGTGGGACTTGTATAAGTTGGAAGTCTCAATTACAACACATTGTTGCACTATCCACTACAGAATTTGAATATGTTACAATTACTGAAGCTTTAAAAGAAGCAGTGTGGTTAAAAAGATTAATCAGTGAATTAGGTTATTTACAACATAGTGTTACTGTTTTTTCGGATAGCTAGTCAGGAATTCAGTTATGCAAAAACCCTGTATTTCATTATAGGACCAAACATATTGACGTACGTTTTCATTTCATACGTGATATTGTATCTAAATGAATTTTAAAATTAGAGAAAATCTCATCTGAATATAACCCATCTGATATGGGTACTAAAGTTTTGCCTGCAAATAAATTTGTATTTTGTAAGACATACATACATTGTGATACTTTTGATTAGCCTCATATTACTTAGAGTAGTAGGTAGGCTAAGTTAATGTTTTGTTCTAACATTATTTTTGGTGCAGGTAAAGATTATATGGGCAATGATGAACCCCATTTACTCGGAGGAAAAATCAGGTGGAGGATTTGTTGGATTTTTTTTTTTTGTCCTTCGGATCCACCCCAATACACTACACACCAACAATTATGCAGCCCGATCGAATCAGGCCTGGCTTGTGATACACAACCCACACCACAACCACACCCGTTGCTGACCCTTACTTGTGATGCGCCCCTTGCCCGTGACCCGCTCCGTGACCCGCCTAGGATCCGCGTCCTTTTGCAAGGCCTGATTCTGGGCCGTTGATTACAGATCTTGATCTTGGCCGTCCATCTCCATTTGGCATGTATATATATAGAGAGAGAGAGTCATTATACTACACTCTCTAATCTCACACTCTCTCTCTACACTCACTACTTTCTGGCCTCTTCCCTCTCTCTCTCGACCCACTGCTCTCTCATTTTTCCGGTGACTTTCACGGAGGTTCACGGCGGTTTTTCGGTGGTGCCTTCCTCCTGTAATTTGTGGAGTTCCTATGGCACTTTTGTTTTCCCCTTTTGTGTAGTCGTTCGTAGCCGAAAGGGGCTCGCTCGACGTTGTAGGCCTTCGGGTGCCTTGTTTGTGTTGTGTGGGGTTATATATAGTGTGTATCACGGTTGTGGCCGGTTCCTTTGTGTAGTCGCTAGTTTAGGTGTGTATAGTGTCGATTTTGTGATTTTCCGAGTTGGTTGGGGCTGAGCCTAACCAAACCTAGTTTAATATTTGTGTTGTTACTCGATTTCTTTAATAAAATCTTTAGATTCGTTTATAATTTTTTATAACATAATATATACACTTTATTCATTACAACTAATAAATCATTCGGCATAAAATATTACTATCAATCTAATTTCTCATGCTTAACATAAAAACAAACTTTTTCAAAAATACAAAGTGAAATAATATCAACACAATTTTTCCATACACCACATCAATAAATATCTCAAACTAAAAATACTAAAATATATATATATATATATAATGTATTTTTATTGAAAATGATATGTATAAAATTTTTTGGAAAAAAAAAGAAAAAAAAAAACCTATGTGTAGTTTGTACGACAAATTGATTATCCTTTTGGTTGCAAGTCAATTTACATTTATATTATAATTTCAATATTTTCTATTTCAATTATTTTTCAAAAACTTTCAAAGTTGAGTAACCTATAATAATCTATTTCTATATCTCTTTATCAATAATCAAATATATTTTTATATATTCAAAAAAATTATTATTTTTTCTCTTTATATGATTCATCTTTATTGCTATTTTTTCTTCAATAAATAAAATGAGTTATATTAATTTTAAATAAATAATAAATTAATATTCTTTATATAAAATAATATCAATCTTATGTATTTTTTTTTATTGAGATATTTAAACATATATTCTAAATTTTTTTAATCATATACTACCTACATTCGGCTCTAGTATAAATTAAGAAAAAATTATATCAAAACGTAGTATAAATTAAGAAAAAATTACAAAAATACTTTCATTAGTATCTTATAATATTAATATAAAGATATTTGTAAAAAAAAATTATACAAATGTAAGAATATTTTTAATGTTAAGTACAGACAAATGTGACATTATAGACGGACGGAGGAAATATTTATATTAATTTTATTTTGAAAATACCAACTAACACCACTCATATATAAAAATAAAATAATATCATAATCTAATACCATTAACTTACAAATTTTATTTTCTTAAATATCAATGTCACTAACAAAACCTAATACATAATTTTATTTTTTTACAAAACAATATTAGTAGTAAATATACCATTTTTGTCCGTCCAAAAACAATAGTTTCATTTTCATAAATAATCATATCACTATAAAATTACCGTTACTTTTTTATTATTATTAATTACAAATTCAACCCCTACACCACCAGGTCATCTGGACAACGTGTAGTAATTTTATAACATGTACAATAACCATAAAGATAAAAATGTCCTTTTGAGATGAATTGTAGCCATCAGCTTTGTGACATGTGAAAGGTGAAAAACTAGTAACAATATTTATTTTCAAATTAAAATAACCGTATATAATAATTTATATGAAAAATAAATAATAAAAATTTTCAGTAGAAGTATACTTCATTTCCTATATAAAAACATAGGCCAACACAATTCTTGTGCTGGGCAGAGCAACAACGTAGAAGAAAATCAACTAGAAATGTGAACAACCCACCCGATTGTTTTACGTTTCCGGAACAACCTCGACTCGATTTTATTCGAATCGAGCCGGAGTGTATATAATGTACACTTTGGATGTAGAGAAAAACAATCGGGTTTGACACTATTCATCAACAATAATATATATAGTTTCTTCGTAGTAATGAATCGGGATATATATATATATATTGAAAAACCAAAGACGGAAAGGTAAGAAAGAGCTTTTGCGTTTACTTTGTCTAGGTAGATGCATTAGGTTAGCAGCTCCGGCCGACACGGCAGCCAAGGGCGCCGGCGCTAGAAGTAATGGAGGCAACCATGGACGAAGATTTGGCACCTAAGCTCGAAGCTCTAGCATAGCTGGATGAAGCCCCGGCGCCCGATGGGGTGAAGTATGCCCCGTTGAGCATAAGATCGCCTTCCGATCTCCAGTTCCACCCACTCCATCGATTTTCCGGGGTGTCCACTCTCTTCGTCACCTAACCAAACAACCCATCCTATCTCTAATTAGTAAATCAAAGTTTTTAAATTTTTTGATGCGACGCTAATGTTTGTTTGAAAAGGTTACTGTTGATAAATAGTATCATCTATGTAAAAAAAAGAGAGACTATCTATACCTCTTTTGCGAAAGGATTGACTGGCGCGAGATATCTATTCCCTTGGCTGTTGATTGTCGGCTCAGCACTGCCTCCGATCGCGTACATTTCCCAGTGTGTGTAGTCATTGTTCACGACGTGGAAATATCCGTGCCTGCACCTGCATATATAGAATCGATGCCTATGAAAATTTTCTTACGTTGCGCGACGCTGCCGTGCGTATGTAATTTAATGTTTGGACAATGGGCGGGCGAGGGAAGCTGAAGCCACGTACCTCGGCATTCTTTGAATCAAGCCTTCGCCGAAATGGTTGTACGCGATGGTCGCCTGCATTTGTTTGTCGCGAAGGTAAGAGTCGCTATGTCCCAACAGAATAACCTCGTTGTGGTGCGTGAAGTAGTTGTTCGAAATGGTGATCGCAGTCGACCCCATGACAGCGTCCACGAGCCCGTCGGCGCAGTTGGACAGCGAGTTATGATCCACCCAAATGTGGCTCGACCCGAAGATGGATATAGCATCCCCATCAGCCATCGTTCTCCAGCCATAATGTGTCGGCGAGCTCCTCACCATGGCATTCCCCGTCGGGCGGCAGTCGTGGATGTGAAGGCCGTGGATAATGACATTCGTCACGAACTGGATCGTTATGCATCCTCCGTTGGCGATGTGGACATTGACGCCCCGGCCGTCGATGGTCTTGAAGCTGTTCATGATCAGCTCCTGCTTCAGCCGAATAACCATGTCGCGGTTGAATACGATCCAGAGAGGCTCTTCTTGGATAACGGCGTGGCGAAGAGTACCCGGCCGGGGATTAACTGGATCGTCGTCGCCTGAATCGGTGACCACGTAGAAACGACCATCACGGCCACCGATGGCATTGCGCCCGAATCCAATCCCACAGTCGGCGAGGTGCTTCCTGTTCCGGTGCCAATTCGCGTCGCAACGCCAGCAATCATCGATAGGATTACCCGTCACGCATGAGAAGAAACCGAGTTTTCGCCTCGCCGCCTCCGTGCTGTTCCTCGTGGCCCTACACATTCATTTCTCTAGTAATGACAAACTAAAATGCTGACAACACATACTATAAAATTTACAACATACATACGATATAGAAATAGAAACAGACAACACATAATTTACTTAATACAGATAAAGTACCATATAATCTAGTCCCATGTAACACATGCTATCAATCATTTCAGTTCAATAAATAATGTATTATTATTCATATACTTTAGGAATAGTTCCACAAGTCGTACCGACAAAGTAGGAAAAAAAATTCGACTCTAGTATACCAACGGTATAATTCTTGTGTCGGTGGATCAAATCTATGAAATGATCAAATTTCTTCATCATCATTCATTCAATGCCTTTACCACCAATCAATTTGCACCATGCTATCCTATCTGTATAGTATTTGGTACTTTCCTGTCTGATCTAAGACCAGCTAAAATATCAGTTTTTATTAATTGTTTTTGGTGCATCAAGACAGGGATGATGGTGGACACACACATATTGTCTTGTTTGGGCATATAATGGCTGATACATACACTCACGTGAAGAAGATAGGATAGCCACTATCTTCACAATTTACCGATTTTCTTTTTAAGCACTTTTTCTTGATCACAACAAGAAGAACCAAAAAAGATATATTTATTTCATTAATAGGGTATCTTAGATAAAAACAATTTTAAAAAACAGAGATGAACAGATAGATCTATAGATTTTTAAAAAATGAACCAAGCTGGACAACAATGACACAGATTAACAATAATGGTGTGGCAAGAACAGAATATGCTGCGATGTCATCTGCAAATGAGCATAAATAAAAGAGACTCCATAGACATATTTCTCATCATAGCTTCAAGGAAACATGTGGGTGGGGACAGAGTGTGTAAATGAATATAGGCCTACTTTCAAAGCTTACGGACATTCAATTTTGACAACAACTGCTACTAGACAAAGCTGTCTCAGTTAATTCAAACCATGTTTCAATCCCACAAAATGCACAGATTGGGCAATTTTAGCAACTCAAAGAAGATATACAGATCACTTACATTTCTACCATTCTTGCTACCTCTTCAGGGTCATCCACTGCATGTTCATTCCGAGCCTCTTCGTCAATTTCTTCCACTCTGAACAGAGCATTAAACAAATTTTATACGCTTATTAACATCAATTTTTTAACTTCTTAATGAACTAATGTGATGAGTTTGGCCAGGAGAGGAACATTTTTAGGACAGACCTAACAACTTACCTAGCCTTGAGGAAGGTCCATTTGTGGTTTTAAAACTAAGAATGACTGTGGCTCCAATTAAATAAGTGAAAGGCAATGATATGCAGTAATTAATTTTGCATAAATGGAGTCAATTACTACCGACAATTTGCATATTTGCTTTCATAAATACAAAGCACTATCGAAACTCCATGGATGCGACACACAATGTGCTGTTTACTGCACAAGGTAGTGCTTTAATAATGCCAATACATATACACATATAGATGCATATATATATATATATGTCTATCTGTGTGTGGAAATCGCCCACTGTAAACTTTCAGATAATCCTTTTTCAATTTGTTTGAGAGAGGGAGCAGTGAGAAGAATGATGAAAATGTGATGGTTGAAATTTTAACAGGAGTTATGAGTTTACTCACTTTTCCGCCATTGTTGAGTTTGCTGTGCTCGGGAACTCATCTCTCTCCACAGAACTGTACACAAGATCAGACAGATTAGAAACATATTATACAACCGACTGACAATTTAACATCGAATTTGCTCCCTCTGTCAGTAGAAACTTCACGTGAAAACCGAATCTGGAACAGGAAAGTTACATAAGCAATTTTTGGCGGAAAATGTAAGTAAAGTTCGAAATCAATTGCAAAACAAAACGCGCGAAGTAGTGAAAGTCATAACCAAATTAAGGGAAAACAGATTTTAAAAAATTCATCAAAACTCAGGATCCTTAAGAAACCAAAAAATGCCAAAACTGCACTCGGAATTGCGAAATTCCATACTTGAAAGGTAGCTCCAAATTCGCGATAGAGAAAATAATTACAGTTAAAAAGCTTCGCAGTTCGCAGTGATTCAAATCCTCACACCTGAAAAACCAGCATTTTTCAATAAAGCAAAGAAAAAACCTCAAATTAGGGATTGCATCCTTCTGAACAGCAGCAGCAAGAGCGAACAGCACGAACGTCGCCAAAGTGAAAAGCAACAAAACTTTCTTGGACATCCACATTGCCAATCCGCTATACCTCTCTCTCTCTCTTCCTCTTTCTCTGTCTATATGTATATATGTGAGTGTATGTATCTGTATATAAATATTGGTACCTCTGTAAAAATGAAGCTGAAGGAAGAGAGAGAAATACTGTATGCTACTGTTGTAAAGGGAAACAAAAAATGGAGGGGGAAACATACAAAACCACTCTAACGGATCTCCGTCTTTTTACAACCTGCCATCTTAACGGAACATTAACGTCCGTTAACTAACTGCCAACGAACACTTCAGAAACAATAGAGATGTGTTCTTTAAAAAAAATATACACATTTTTTTTTTCAAAACTATTAATATATCATAGATTTATTACTTTTATATATTTTTTATTCAATTTATATTAGTTACATCAAAAAATACTAATTCAAATTATCTCACAAACCAAAAACTTCCTAAATTTGTATTTTTGGTTTAATTTTCTAAATTAACTAAGAAAAATATTATTTAAATATAAAATTTAAAACTAATTCAAATTATTTTACAAACCAAAAACTTCCTAAATTTGTATTTTTGGTTTAATTTTCTAAATTAACTAAGAAAAATATTATTTAAATATAAAATTTAAAACAAATCTTTTCGATTTAAACCAAATATATATATACACCCCGGGTGTAACATTGGCATTTGGCAGTATATGATATTTTTATCAAACTAAATTCATTTTTATTAATAATGATAAATTATATAATAAAGAATAATTAAATTGAGTTCATTTTTCTACTATTTATAAGATTTTATCTTATTAATAATACTATCTCCGTCCAGCCATAAAGTACACATTGGCTTTTTGTGTTGATCTTTAAATATTAATTATTATATCAAAACGTAATACAAAGAGAAAATGACAAAAATACATCTATTAGTCTCTTATAATACAAATACAATTATATTTTTGGAGTAAACTATACAAATTGTTAGAAATTTTGGGGGAAAATAATGAGATTGTCTTATTAATCATCAAATTAAGGAGCCTATATATAGCCAATACAAAATAAACTCGATAGACTTAAGTAATCTAATCTACGAATAAGATCAAATCTAAATATAAATCTATTAAATCTAAAACTGAATATCTAAAATATTTCAACATTCCTCTCAAACTCAAGTGGTATAACAAAAATCAACTTGAGTTTAATGAGAAATTTGAATATAAACACAAAAAGAAAACATAAATAAAATTAGCAGTTGACTCTCCACCCACCGGAGCAAAAAACGAGATGACTCTCCACCGGAGTTGAAAACGAGATGACTCTCCACCGGAGCAAAAAACCAGATGACTCCACCGGAGCCGAAAACGATATGACTCAACCGGAGCCGAAAACGACAGGACTCCACCGAAGCCGTCGAAAACGACATGACTCCAGTGAAACCGAACAGGAGATGAATCTCCACCGGAGCCGAAAACAAGCCGAAAAAAAGATGACTCCACCGGAGCCGAAAACGACATGACTCCACCGGAGCCTAAAACGACAGGACTCCACCGGAGCCTAAAACGACATGACTCCACCGGAGCCGTCGAAAACGAGATGACTCCACCGGAGCCGAAAACGAGATGACTTTACTTGAGTCGAAAATCACATGACTCCACCGGAGTCAAAAACCACATAACTCCACCGGAGGCGAAAACGAGATGACTCCACCGGAGCCGAAAATAAGATGACTCCACCGGAGCCGAAAATAAGATGACTCCACCGGAGCCGAAAAATAAGATGACTCCACCGGAGCCTAAAACGACATGACTCCACTGAAGCCGAAAACAATATGACTCCATCGGAGCCGAAAACGACAGATGACAGATCGCACGTATCAACAGACAGGCAACGACAGATGGCAGATCGCACGCAGCAACAGACAGACAATGGACATATGGCAGATCGTTTCAGATCGCTCGCAGGCAATAGATAAGCAGCAAAGATTTCAGATTGCACACAGACAACAGACAAGCAGCAGACAAATGACAGATCGGAGACGAAACGAGACAGATTTGCAAAAAGACAACTTGCAAAGGCATGATCTCAAAATTACAAGACCTTTGGGTACAATTCAGGTTGAATGTACCCGGAGAAACACGGGTTGATAGGCTATATTTACGGCATGAGAAAAATAGGCTCTGATACCATGTTAGAAATTTTGAGGGAAAATAATGAGATAGTCTTATTAATCATCAAAATAAAGAGCCTATATATAGGCAATACAAAATAGAATCGATAGACTCAAATCTAAGTAATCTAATCTATGAATAAGATCAAATCTAAATATAAATCTATTAAATCTAAAATTGAATATCTAAAATATCTCAACATAAATATAAGAATATTTTTAATGTTAAATACAATTGCGACAAAAATATATGATTACTTTGTGGCTGGACGGAGGTAGTATAATTTAAGGAAATAAACATAAATTAAGGTTTCCTTCAAACGGGAATCTCTCGGCACGTCATTAGATTTACATATTAATTATTTAAAATATAAATAGAAATATAAATATTAGTACCACTACTATTATTATTTTAAGGAATTTAGAGAATATAATAAAACTAAAAGCGGAGTTACTGATTATTTGCTAATCAGCATCATAATAAATTACTAATTAATATTAATTTATTGGATTTTAAATTAATCTAATTGTTATATTATCGATTAAAATAAAATTATCATGTTAAAGAGAAACAATCAAGGAAAGGGATTCGAAATTAATCTAATTGTTATAATATCGATTAAAATAAAATTATCATTTTAAAGAGACAATTAAGGAAAGGGTGTTTTGATTCAAAGTTAAACATTATTTTAAAAATTTAGTGTAGAAAAACTCATATATTTATAAAATGCAAGAGTTATTAAAACTCTTAAATATAAAAGTATAAGAATTTTGAAAACATTTATAATATTAAACATATCAGGGATGTCAAAGGGGGCAGATTAGCGCCGGATTTGCCCCGGATCCGATCTTAATATGGCGGGTTCGGATCTAAAAAATTTAGTTCGGGGCGGATTACGAGTTTTACTATAAATCTGCTCCAATATAGACTCGGATTCGAACCCGGATATTTTAATAATTATTATAATTTATTTATATTTTTATACAATATAAATTCTACTCCCTTCGTCCCCGTGCAAGGTTGCCATTTACTTTTTGCACGTAGATTTTTTAATATTAGTATTATAATGGGTTATAGTGAAAAAGACGAAAATACCTCTATTACAATTGTGTAATATAAAAGTAATGAGATTTGTATAATATTAGGGGTTTCAAAAGTAAACCCGACCCGAAAAACCGAACCCGTTCGACCTGAAATTTTTCAGGTTCGGGTTTGAGTATTTTGGGTTTGAAAAAAATCAGGACGACCCGAACCTGAAACGAAAAAAATTCGTGTCATGTTCGGGTCGTGTTTCGAGTTGACCTGATAACCTGAAATATCAAAATCAGGTTAGGTTTTGGGTTTCGTGTTTCGGGTTGACCTAAAATTTTTATTATTATTATTTTAATTTATAATATTTATATTATTTTAAATATAAAATAATATAAAAATTAAAATAAAAATGATATGTTTTAGGTCAATTTAATTTTTTTTAAATTTTCGGGTCTGTTTCGTGTCGGGTTTATATCGGGTCAACCTAAACCCGACCTGAAAGAATTCGTGTCGTGTTCGGGTCTAGGATTTCAGGTCAGATTTCGGGTTCCGGTCGGGTTCTGGTTGATAGTTTTTTTGTTGTCCTCATGGCTCAACCCGACACGAACACGACCCAAAAACACGAATTGACACCCCTATATAATATAGTGTAAGTTGGAAGAGTATTTATTATGTTAGGTAGGTAGTATAATTACTAAATTAGGAAATTGTACCATTGTTTTGGGACGGACGAAAATGGAAAATGACAACCTCTCAATGGGACGGAAGAGTATTATTTTTTTATTTAAAAAATTTTAAATATAAAATAGAACTTTAATTTTAAATCAAATTTATTTTCCCATTTATTTCTCATACAATTTTCTTTATAATTGCGACTACTGTTGATCGCCATCACTACTAATTATCGTCAATATTTGATTGTTCTTATTTTTAGAACTATAATTTTTTGTTACTTTAACACATATTTTTTTTAGTATTAAATTATTTTAAGAAAATTTTATTTTATTTTTTTTTTAAAAAAAATAACGGGTTTATCGGATTGGCCCTGCGGGACGGATCCTAGGGCCGGGTTGAAGTGGGGCGGGGCGGGTCCCGGGGCCTGCAAAACCCATCCTGAACTAGCCCCGTTGACATCCTTAAAAGATATTAGTTTTTAGAACTTTTACTTTTTTTTCAACTATATAAAAAATAAATAAAATTTTTTAAAGTTGTTCTAAAAACTTCTATTTAGGGTGTGTTTGTTTGAAGGATTGGATTTTGAGTTGGGATTTGAATAGTAAAAATTTTGAATTGTAATAGTTGTATGATATGATATAAATAGGTGTTGCTGTGATGTTTTGAATATAAAATTAATTTTTAATATAATATAAAAAATACAAAGTGAATGTTTGATTTGATATTTTGGAGGGGGGGAATGGATGAATAGTAGGATTTTGAATAAATCCTTTAAACGAACACACCTTCAAGTTTAAACATTCTTAAATAATGTTGTTTTATTTCAAATATTTGTACGTGACATGTCTTTTATTTCTTAAGCGAAATTTCTTTTCAAACAAGCCTACATCATAGTATTATTTTTTGGACTAAATTATTTTATAATTTTTATATAATATTTTGTTTGATATTGTTTGTAAGCTATTTTTATATATATATAATGTATATTTTCTGTTTGATTACAATATTGTTTTTATATGATATTTATTTTGGCATTAGTTTTAATAATATTATGTGCATTGTATTTTGTAACATTTTATTATTTATTTTGGTATTATTTCTAAGTTTATATAACATTTTATTGTTTATTTTGGTATCATTTCTAAGTTTATATATTATTTGTACGTATAATGCATTTATGTGGATTTTTTTATAATATTATTTTTATATATTGCTTATTTTGGTATTAATTCTTATTTTATATAAAATATAAAATAAAATATTGCCTACAAACAATATAAAATAAAATATCGTATAAAAACTATAAAATAA